GCCGACCCTAGACAAGTACGCAAAAGGGCAGATAAAGGCAAGCCGAAGGTTATTCACGTCTTACACTTTGCTATCAGGACAATATTCTCCACACGTGACGTTATTTTCAGTTAACAATATGAAAATAGCGTTCTCTACATTCCTCCATTTGCTAATGCATTTTCCAACTCCCATCGATAGTAGAAATAATCGATTTTTCATGCTTCTACGGCAGTTTTCATGTAGTTTGCGGCCATTTTGTGCTGGCCAGAAAGAACCTATAGCTGGCTGCCACGAATAGGCTGGAAGATTCTATAGTGAGAGCCAACAGCTGACTGACACTAATGTTAACTAGCATGCTAGCATGCAAAAAAAATCGATAGCTGCATTCATCACAAAGTGGGAAAAATTTAAATCTGCATGGCACTTTACTCCAATTGGCTCATTCGCTTGCTTAAACTCAACGTTGATTCTGATTCCGCAGAACTGGGTTGGGTGTGAAAAAGTATTTGTTGTTAACATTCTTTTTTCATTCGGTTTTTCCAGTTAAGAGTCCTTTTTTTTTAAAGCTGATCGTTTTGTGTTCATTTTGTTTAGTTCTTTTTTCGTAACAGATTTAATGTTTAGTATAGAGCTTAGAAAAATTCGCAGTGTCAGATAGGCAAGAAGTAAGGCATATAGCAACATCAGCACGGCAAAGTGCACTCCTTTAAAAGCTAGGAAGGGCAAAAATATTTTAAGTCAAGTGATAGCGATTGCTGTATGAGTCGTAGGATTTTTTAATGAAGCACGGGCAACGCCGGCCCATGCTGCTTGTTAACACTATTCCCAAGGTCATTTGGAGGTAAGTGAATATAATGAACCCGACTGTAATTCGAACTCGGGTCTCTGATTTCTCATTCCGACCCGTTATCCATCACATCACACCGCACAACCTGATACTTTACGGCTGCATAAAAAAGGATGCTTAAGAAAAAACTGGTTAAAATATACGATAGCTTGCGTACTGCCAAATACATCAAGTTACAGAATGAAAATTTGGTACAAGACTTGTATGAAGGCGAAGGATTTAGCAGTGCTTATTGTTTTAAAAAGCGATGATTAGAATTGTACTAATAACGAAACCAACTTTTAACAAAAAATAGCTGAAGGCAGCATTAAGTTGATCAAAATGGTATGGAGTCTGAGATGTTTGGTATAAGGTCACATTCAGCGATGAAACAAAGACAGACCTGTATTCTAATATGTGTGTCTTTGCCAGAAGGTCAATAGGAAAACTAAATACCCCACGTTACATATTGAAAGCAGTTAAGTCTGGTATGATAAGGTTCTATAAAAACAGATATTTAAAGAAAATTCGTTAAAACTGACGAAAGAACAGTGCCAAATATTTCATGTTGCAGAAGGAACATTTAGTACAAGACTTGTATGAAGGCGAAGTATTTAGCATTACGGAGTTTCATACCACAGATTATAACGGAGACAGCTTGATGGTCGTGTCATTGTATTGAAAGATTGAGCAGATAAGAGGTCTGTTTTAAATCATAAATAAAATATTAACAGATCTAGTGACGAATTTAGCAGAATAATCCACGCGAACTTCTATTGTGGGATACGAAACACTTGGGAATGGTTCCTAGTCCCTGTGAAGATGGTAAGGGATTTGGCTACATCCCCTCCCTGGCGCACTGAAGCAATTATTCAAGATGCAGGAAATTAAGAAAAATATTAATGTCAAATATAGATGCAGTGTCAAAGGGACGTTTTTTTTCTCCTCATGACACCGCTTTTTAAAGTATCTCCGCTCTTCGCCAGTGCTTATTGTTTTAAAAAGCGATGATAAGAATTGTACTAATAACGAAACCAGATTTAAACAAAAAAGTATCTAAAGGCGACATTGCGTTGATCAAAATGGTATGGAGTCTGAGATGCTTGGAATAAGGTCACATTCAGTAATGAAACAAAGACCTGTATTCTAATATGTGTGACTGCCAGAAGAAAATCGAAATATCCCACGTTATACAATGAAAACAGTTAAGTTTGGAGGGTAAGTGTCTGGTGTGATTAGGTTCTATAAAAACAGATGTTTAAAGAAAATTGGTTAAAACTGACGATGGACCAGTGCCAAATACCTCATGTGGCAGAAGGAACATTTAGTACAAGACTTTTATGAAGGTGAAGTATTTAGAATAACGGTGTTTCTATACCACAGTTTATAACAGAAACAGCTTGATGACCGAGTTACCGTATTAAAAGATTGGCTGGATTAGAACCTTATTTTATAAATAAAATGTTGACAGAACTAGTGAGGATAATTTATCAAAAGAACCCATGTAATGTTGATTTGTAGAAGCTTAACTACAAATGATATCAAGTAAAAGGGAAGATAGTAAAAGATTTGTACACATCGCTTTCCAGAGAAAGAATTACTTAAGCTACAGGAAGCCACACATAATATTAACAATGTGCATTAACTTCTTGAAATCAACATTATATAATACGTTTTCATTACAGATATTTGTCTATTTTAAACTGCTTCATAATCTGTTATATAGAAATAAAAATGTCACTGCCGACACAGGAGTTTGAACATAGATCGTCAGAGAGCAAACACAGGATATCCCATTTGAATTAAGTAGATCACGTGAATGGGAATTAGCGTGGCGTCTAATTGATCATTCTTTCTATCGTATCCTCTATTACTATACAGATAGTTATTCTTTATATAACTCCCTATACTTTTTCTCTATACTTTTTCTCTATACTATTTCTCTATACTATATCTCTTTACGGATTACTATTCGGATCACTTTTCGGCTGTTACTGTTCGAGCGGGTATTATCGAGCAAGTACTATTAGCACGAGTGATATTCGAAGGCGTCTGATACCGGTATTGTTCAACGGCGTTACTATGAGTTGTATCTGCGATTACAAAGTCTTTACTACAACGGCATCACAAAAGTGGCAACGAGTATTCGTTGACACCACAAAAGAAGCGGTGGGAAATAGCATGATGGATGGCTGTGAAATTGAATAATTACTTATGATAGTACGTATTTACAGAGAACACTCAGTGTGTTTCTATGTTTGCTAGTGTCTTCATGTATGTGCATTGTGTATGCGATATATGTGTGCATGCATAAGTATGCTACTTAAATTCAAGAAAATCTAGCTTCAGGCCGTGTTCCTTCCACTCGTCAGGTTATATATATATATATATATATATATATATATATATATATATATATATATAATGAAATGGACAAAATCCGACAGTTATTCATGGAAGATTGAAGTTTAAAGGCAGTAAATTCGATCTTGCTAATCGAACGATCCTCTGTGGCTCGGTTAAGAGCACGTCAGGCTAAATAATGGTTTCATATAGGATACAGGTTCGATTCCTGTTGGAGGACGAATATTTTCTATGAAGATTTCTCGGACATTCAGGCCGGTAAATGTTATAAATACTGTTTATTATAAACAGAGCATTTACTTAAATATTTGTATCTATAAAAAAGAATGTATAAACATAAAAATGTCTATATATATTTATATAAAGAAATAGAGTTTTAAGGTGTGCTATATTTAAGGGGTAAAGTGCTCAATATCAGAGATAGAGCGTATGTAAATATAAATATAAAAGTGAACATTGAAGTCAACACTCAGAGGCGACAGTCTGTTTCATGCTGGACGATTGCCTCCATCATGAAACAGCCAGTCGCCTCTGGGTGTTGACTTCATTGTCAACTTTTATATATATATATATATATATATATATATATATATATATATGATGTGCTATATTTGTGGGATAAAGTGTTCAATATCAGAGATAGAGCGTATGTAAATATAAATATAAAAGTGAACATTGAAGTCAACACTCAGAGGCGACAGGCTGTTTCATGCTGGACGATTGCCTCCATCATGAAACAGCCTGTCGCCTCTGGGTGTTGACTTCATTGATATAACATTATCAATACAACATGACAAACGAGAAATTGTATTGATAATGTTATATTTATGAATATGTCCTGAAGATGGTTTATTAGACCGAAACGTCCGACGTTGACATATTAACATTAAAACAGCATAATTGTATATAAGTATTTTTTTTGTTTTTTTTTTCCGTATATATTTTTTCTTCATACTGTCGGATCTATATCCATATATTTTTATATATATATATATATATATATATATATATATATATATATATATATATATATATATATGAACCTACACGATTCATAAGCTCGAAACCATTTTTAATCATTGATCTGAGAAAAATGTTCATTTTATACCGAAATTGTTTTTGGAAGGATTAGATATTTTATTTTTATTTTTGGCTGTAGAACTTCGGTATATTAGTCTTTTCTCATTCAATAAATCTTGAACACTCAGGTTTTTTCTTAAAAGGATAAAACTACCTTATTCTTTGGGGTTACTATAAAATAAAAGTTATGATTTTTTTTTTCTAGAGTTGATATGATGGGGCATTGTAATCAAAGCATCTTTGTCGATATTTTTCTATGTTCCATCCGGTCTTCTATATCTGTCTCAGCTCTAAAGGAACGGTTTATGATCAAAGTTCTGTAATCAATTATTCGATTCGTTGGAAATAAATAAAATAAAAAACGACGTGGAACGTGGTATTAGAGCGAAACAAATATAATATGTCGCGCAAGGTGTGGATTGCTGTATCTTAGCTACTGCAGAAATTATGGAAAAGACTTAATTTCGGACTTAGGATATGAAATCTCCTGTCTCTAATACTGTTTCTAATTCATTTCATTGATTTATAGATAAATGAGATGAGAACAGGGCTGATCAATTTCAGTTAACAACAGCAGATTAAGCTTTTACTTGTAAGGCCTTACTTCACGTAGAATTATTTAGTTTAGTGGGTTTAATCCGATCTATGGACTGAATTGTTTATCATGTGTATGCGTTTCGTTTGAAACCCAGTTTTCCAAATTAAATTTAATTTAATTTCTTTCTAATTCCACAACGTGCTTTTTATTATGTTTATTCTTTCTTACTTTCTTTTTCAAAAAATCCTTTTTATTTTTCTTTCTTCTTTCTTTCTTTCTTTCTTGCTTATTCCAAAACTTCACTTCATATTTTGTTCTTTCTTTCTTTTTCAAAAAATCCTTTTCATTTTTCTCTCTTTTTCTTTTTTCTTTCTTTCTTATTCCAAAATGTGCTTTTTTACTTTGTTCTTTTTTTCTTACTTTGTTTTTCAAATATCATTTTTAATTTTTCTTTCTTTCTTTCTGTCTTTCTTTCTTTCTTTCTTTTCCAAAATTCGCTTTTTACTTAGTTCCATCTTTCTTTCTTTCATTTTCAAATATTTTAAAACTTGTTCTTCCTTTATTTCTTTTTCTTCTTTCCTTTTTTCTTTCTTTTCTTTCTTATTCGACACCATGCTTTTTACTTTGTTTTTTTCTTTCTTACTTTCTTTTTGCAAATATCTTTTTATTTCTTTGTTTCTGTCTTTCTTTCTTGCTCGCTTTGTTACTTTTTTCTAATTTATTCTTTTCTTTTTTAAATGTGCTTTTATTCTTCTTTCTTTCTTTCTTTCTTTCTTTATTTCTTTCTTTCTGTCTGTCTTTCTTTCTTATTCCAAAATTCGCTTATTACTTAGTTCCATCTTTCTTTTTTCTTTTTCAAATACTTTAAAATTTGTTCTTCCTTTCTTTCTTTTTCTTTTTTCTTTCTTTCTTTCTCTCTTTCTTTCTTTCTGTCTTTCTTTCTTTCTTATTCGTCACCATGCTTTTTACTTTTATTTTTTTTCTTTCTGCCTTTCTTTCTTGCTCGCTTTGTTTCTTTTTCTAATTTATTCTTTTCTTTTTTTAAATGAGCTTTTATTTTTTATTCTTTCTTTCTTTTTTTCTTTCTTTCTTTCTTTCTTTCTTTCTTTCTTTTCTCGTTTAATTTCTTTAATTATTTCTCTTTCTTTCCCTGCTTTTCTTTCTCTTCTTTTATCTTTTCTTGTTTCTTTCTTCATTTATAACATTTCTTTCCTTCTTTTATTTTTCCTTTCTTTTCTCTCTTTCCTTAGTTAGATTCTTCTTAAAATTTTCTTCTGTTTTTATAATTCACATTGAAAATTCAAAGGTAAGTTTGTATCATTAAAGTCAGACTACCATATCTATTTAATAATTGATTTCTATCACAACAGAACAATGCGTTTTCCTATCGGTTTCAGCGAGACGTTCCTAAGACAACTAGAAGACCTGCCGGGATTTACTATCATCGGCCACAATCTTAACAACTACCCAGATTGCAATGTGATGAATACGCAATAAGATGAGAGTGAGTTGTGATATTGACACAGTTTTTATTGTTATCCTTTTGTGTGGACAGATTCTCCTTTTAGAAGTCAATTTTCTTATTTATTTTTTCCTATGATTTTCTTTGGATATTTTTTTAAGCGTTTCACCCAAAGCAAGGCGGGAAGCCACTAGCACGCAAGGGGTTACAGAGAGTTGGAAGGAGAACAAATAGGAGTGATAGAGGAAAGGATGAAGAGAAGGATAGGGGATAGATCAGGGCATGTGGAGACGTCGATTGACATTACATTTAAATAGTTAAAGATTATAGCTATCAGGAAAACAAGAAATGGGGAGGGAGTTCCACAGGCGAGAAGTGCGAGACATGAAGCTATTGGAGTAGAAGAGACGGCTACATTTAACAGTTTCGACAGTTGAAAGTGTGAGAGCAAGATGCCAGCCTAGTGGAACGCTTAAATTCATGTAGTCTGGGAACCAGCGAAAGCAGCTTGTCGGAGCAGTTACCGTGAAAGTATTTGTAAAAAAAAAAGACAGAGGGAGGCGACGGCACGTCTGTGAGAGAGCGACTGCAGACGAGATGCCAGATCAGGGCCAATTACATTGCATATCCGTTTCTGGATTTTATCAAGAACCTTGAGACAAATAATTACCTTGTTACAGGAATTAGCTTTGTTTGCAGTTACTGCTTATTAGGAATCCCGGACATTGTCCTGCAATTGTACGTAATCATGGTGATGTTTTTAGTGAAGTTTTTGTTTTTCTTATGTGTTGTAGCAGCTTTTTTAAGATTCGATGTGCGTAGGGTGTAAAGGATAACTATTCCAAATGAGAAATTTGAGATCCGAGTTCGAATTCCAGTCGCGTTCATAATATTCACCTGCGCGAAAATAGCTTTGGCAGAGGTAAAAATCCATCACTTCCCTCTAGCTATGAGTTAAATAGTAATATATTCTTGTAGCCTTGGTTGGCAACCAGTCTACCTCAGAATATAATGGTAGTCTACTGCGGGAATCCTTCTGCCAAGCCAATTATGAATCGAAGAGAGAAATGACCGTTAAAACGTGTATCACGTATGGCATGAGAAAGGAAGCATATGTTCTCAGATGAGAAATTATTTACACTAGCAGTGGCCGTGGAAATTCCAGGGTTTTATTGCTTTCATTGAAGTTCAAGTTGAAGAATGGAAAAACAGGAAAATACCAAAGAAATAAAGAGAAAAAAAGAAACAAACGAACAAACAAACAAAAAAGGCAATAAAGAAAAAAAATAATGGACGATTCAATGTAAAAATCAATGAAAGCAAAAAGAAAAGAAAGTTGGAAAAAAAAAAAAAAAGGAGGGAGTAAAAAGGAAAGAAAGAAGGATAAGTTAAAGAAAGAAAGCAAAAAGATTTAGGAAAAAACACTAGTAAAGAAAGAAAGAAAAAGATTTAGAACACTAGTAAGTAAAAGAATTTTAGAAAAAAAGAAAGAAAGAAAGAAATGTTAGAACATACTCAAGTAAAAGATAATCTGGGAAAGAAAAAAGAAGGGAAAATAAAAGAAAGAAAGTTTGAAGAAGAAAATAAAAGAAAGTTGGAAAAAAGAACCAAAGTAGGTAAAGAGTGAAGAAAGAAAAGAAAGAAAGAAAGAAAAAGAAAGAAAGAAAGAAAGAAAGAAAAAGATTTCGAAAAGTAAAATGTAAAAGAATGTTGGAAAGTATAAAAGAAAAATTTCTTTCTTTCTTTACATAAAGAAAGAAAGAAAGAAAGAAAGAAAGAAAGAAAGAAAGAAAAGTTGGAACATACTAAAGTAAAAGAAAATTTGGGAAATAAAAAAGAACGAAAAATGAAAGAAAGTTTCAACAGCGGAAAATAAAAGAAAGTTGGAAAAAAGGACAAAGAAAGGAGGGGGTAAAGAAAGAAAGAAAGAAAGAAAGAAACAAACAAACAAACAAACAAAGAGGCATTAGCGAATACACTTATAGTTAGAAATATTTAAAGGACGAAATGGAAATAAAAGCAGATCTTCTCATAACAATGGCAACTAATTAAGCTTTGGTAATGAGAAACGAAACGAAATTGCAAGAATCTAAAATTCTAAATCTTAAACAGAATCAAAAAGAACAAAAAAGGCAGAAACACAAAAGAAAGCCCAAAGTACACACAAGGTCATCACTAACGTTGGAAACACACTCGGCTTTAAAAGTCTTCTTTTTTTTTCAGTCAGTTTATTCTCGTTATGTCTCTCGACTAAATGAAACATGGATGCATTTTCGACTACTGGATAAAGATGTCACTAATCAAGAAAAAATGACAAAATTTTAATGGTTTCTATGTAAAAGAAATTCAAAGGAACTACTGAATCCAGAGAAGAAAATTAAATCTTTTTTTTTTATTTATTTTATACTATTGTTCACCCAATACAAGGCCCATGTGTCAGTCAAAGCAGAGCCTAAATGAATACAATTGTTGTAAAGAGAGGAATGAAAAGTGTATATTTGGATGATATGTAGGATACATATTAGTGGACCAAAGATATCAAGAGGTTAATGTTGAAGGGGTCGGGGAAAAATCCTCTGGGGAGTCAGTTCCATAAACTAATATTTCAGGATAAGAATCTGTCCTGGGGAAACTTTCTCCTTACAAAAGAAATACGAAGGTAATGTGGATCAGTCGACACATTGTACATGGCATGACCAGTCCTAGCTGTGACAATGGTGCAGGCCTGTGTACGTGTTGAGAGATAAATACGTGTGTCTCCTGAAATGACCACAACCAACATGGCAGTCTCGGGATGAGTCCAAGAAATGTAAAGAAAAGACAAGAAACGATATATATATATATATATATATATATATATATATATATATATATATATATGTTGTGGCGTCCTCCCTCTAAAGAGTCTATTTTGAACTCTTCTGTCTACTATAAAATTAGTAGAAGAGACCAGACTGTTCATTTCTGTCGACCTCTCCGCCTCGGCAGAGAGGAACTCGGACGAAGCTTTGCCGCAGGGAAAAGTTTCGTCCGGAGAGGTAGACAGTCCCTGAACCCGTCTAGGCGGGTTCAAAGGGAATATTTTAGGCCGAGCCTACGTGCTCGGACAAACCCACGGTAAACCCGGCCATGTGCCACATACATTCCTTGTGGGTGGGGGACTGTTAAATATAACAGTCGACCAGAATGTTAATTTCTGTTGAACTGTCTGCCCCGGCAGAGAGGAACTCGGACGAAGCTTTGCCGGGTTCAGAATACTTTTGGCCGAGGACGAGACTTTGCCGCAGGGCAAAGTTTCGTCCGGGGTGGTAAACAGGCGGTGAACCCGTTAAGCCGGGTTCAGAATACATTTGGCCGAGGACGAGGCTTTGCCGCAGGGCAAAGTTTCGTCCGGGGAGTTATAAAATCCCTGTACCCCTTTTGGCGGGTTCAAAGGGAATAATTTTGGCCGAGCCTACGGGATCAGAGAACTCACGGTAAACCCTTGTGCCACATACATCCCTTGTGGTGGGGGCTGTTAAATATTAACAGTCGAATAGATCTATTCCAGATGTGCTGGCCAAACTCTCTGCCATCGGGCAGAGAGGATGTCGAAAGGCAGAGTCTCATCTCGAGAAACTGCTACCCAACCCCGTTTTATACCGAATCTATGGGGGACTTTAGGTCGAGCCTATGAGATCGGATTGCCACACATTAAACTCTGCCTTGTACCACATCCTACTTAGTGGGGAAACTGGTATATATCAACAGTCGAATAGACCTCTTCCGGCTGTGCTGGTCAAACTCTCTGCCTCCGAGGCTATGTCGAAGGGCAAAGTGGAAGGACTTCCCAACGTTTAGATTGTAGGATCAGGCATCATGTCCAATTGCGAGTTCTTAATCCGGATGCCCGTAAGAGCCACAGCTGGTTAATACTTCTGGGTCAGCAATCACTGAACATTTGATAAATTGCAGGGATTGTGCGAAGAATTTCAGTCCGAATTGGTTTACTGTACTGTCCAGTTCGCACTCTCCATTTCATTTGAGGGCACTTGAGTCTCTGTATATTCGGTCCAGGAAGCCGTCTCTTTGCAAGCAAAAAGACTGTGTCCTTGGGCTTCACGTTATTAACTCCAGTGTGTATCATACATTCCCCTCACACTCCCCCTTTTTTTCTTTTTTTTCCTTTGTGCTGTGCAAATTCGCGCGGTTTGAATATTTTCCCCCTCATACCATTAATCATTTCATTTTTGAATGTTTTAATTGTATGTAGGGTGTTTCTTTGAGTCAATATATATTGCAATAATTGTTAAATTGTTCCCAGTCGACCCTGATGAGCTTGGGAACAAAACCGGTTGGTCTGTTCTGTAAGTGTTATCATCTCTTACTTTTTTATTTATCATAATGCCTTTAGGAAATAATTTGTATCTATTCCTTGCAATATTATTGTTCTGTACCTCCAACAATATATATATATATATATATATATATATATATATATACAAACAAATGATAATATAAAGTGTTACAAGTGACAAAAACAATAATGTATGTGAAGTGAGCGAATGTGCGTACGTCCGTGTGTGTTTGCGCGTCTGTGTGCGTATTTTTCATGACTTTACCAAAGAGAACGCGTTATAATCGTGTTCTTCTGCGAGAATTTTACATGGTGACGTAAAAATAAGAGGCTGTGAATAATTATCGCGGTATATTTATAGTATCAGAATGCGTCCCCTAACAGCAGTTTCAAAAATTAGGAGCAGTTACCCCGATAGTTCATTAGCAAGAAAGGTATACATTATAATTAGTTTTTTTGTTTTTGTTTTTTAAGCAAGGGAGATAATTCACCAAAAGTGATAATGGTGGATGCGACAAAGGTTTGAACTGATGGAACTAAAGAATGTAGGTCGTATGAACATTTGCTGTAGTAATATCGATAAATTAACAGGAGGCTAGCGACATTTCGTCTCTGAGAAAGGTTTTATAAAGGGGAAAATGATTTATCACCCACCAGTGAAGATCAGACAGCTCCAGGTCAGATATGGCCTGGAGACGCTATTTTTGACATGTTTTTTTTTTTATGCTAGTGCGTTGAATAATGGCCCACTTTCTTCACCAGGAATCTGGAGAAGACCCACATCCAACAAAGGAGCCTCGGAGGCTGAGATGAAGGAGATTATGTTAAATAGATGTTGTCTTACTGATTTTCTATGCATTGAAGTTTTGTAGGTTAGACCTGACACCAGGTTAATTCTCAGGGGGCAGCTTCTTCCAGTCCAACGCTTGGGGCTTAAAAATTAACCCTCCAATCAGATCGTAGCAGTAATCAGATTATTTGATTGTTGTAATCTATTGCTGTAGACGGGCTTATGGGTTATTTAATACTGACAAGATTTTTACTGCTGGCAATATTTTTTCCAAAAATATATTGCTGGTAATATTTTTTTTCATTCAAAAATGTAATCCTAGTAATATTTTTTTTCCCCAAAAATGTATTGCTTGTAATATTCTTTCCTTCAAAAATGTATTACTGGTAATATTTTTTCCTTCAAAAATGTATTACTGGTAATATTTTTTTTCCTTCAAAACTGTATTGCTGGTAATGTTTTTTTTTTTTGGCCAAAAATGTATTGCTGATAATATTTATTTTCTTCAAAAATATATTGCAGCTAATAATGTATTGCTGGTAATATTTTTTCTCAAAAATGTTCTTGCTGGTATTAAAACCTATTTTTACGCTTTCATAGTTTTTTGACCCCAGTTTGATTAACTATTTGCCCATAGTTGGGACCCTAACTGGTGCTACCACTACGGGTCAGGGTGGACCTAGGAACACCAGCAATTAAGAGGTGGTTCCATGCTCCTCAAAACCTCCCAATCAGAGACCTTGCTGTTGGACGTATTTTATCATCTTACCCACGACGCGAGCGAGGCAGTGAAACGTAGGTGAAGGAAGAGGTGAACAGTCTAACGGCCGTCTTCCCTATCGCGTTGGTGTGAAGCGATCTTCGCGTCACTCATTATCACTCTGCCTTTTTTCCCGGGTAGTGACCAGTGCCTTATGCAAAACATTCTCCTGTACCTTGACATCTTTTTCTAAACAAAAATGTAATTTATCTTTATTCAGTGACTTTCATTATCCGACCCGCTTGCCATTTCACTTAGCTGATAATTACTGGAAGAATAAATGACCGAAACCATTTTTGTGACAGGTTAGCTGTTTTCCATTTATCAAGAAAGCAGCTAACAATGACATCGCTACATCATTTACTGCTATAAAACCCCTTACAATTCATACAAAAAAAAACAATACGTTTATATTATACTACCGTATTATAACGCTCCCACATGTTTAATTTCTGCTTCACTGAAATTGAAAACCTTATCAATTTCTAATCTTCTTATTGGTATCATTGTAACGGGACTAATAAGTATAGCGGCCTGTGTAAAACGATAAACTACATCCGCGTCCTGGGTAAGACGATAAACTACATCCGCGTCCTGGGTAAGACCATAAACTACATGCGTGTCCTGGGTAAAACCATAAACTACATCCGCGTCCTGGGTATGACGATAAACTATATCTGCGTCCTGGGTATGACGATAAACTGCATCCGCGTCTTGGGTATGCCGATAAACTACATGCGTGTCCTGGGTAAGACCATAAACTACATCCGCGTCCTGGGTAAGACGATAAACTACATCCGTGCCCTGGTTTAGACGATAAACTACATCCGTGCCCTGGTTAAGACGATAAACTACATGCGACAGCAAGGCCTTTGATCAAGATGTTTTGAGGAGCATGGGACAACATCTTAATTTCTAATGTTACCAATTCCACCCTGACCCGGACTGGTAGTACCTGTAGGCTCCCAGCTATCGGCAAATAGTTAAAACGGCCCAAAGGAGTCAAAACACTATGAAAGCATAAAAATAGTTTTTAATACTAGCAATAATTTTTCGTTAAAAAAACTTACCAGCAATCCATAATTGAAAAAAAAATTATTACCAGCAATACATTTTTAGAAAAATATTAGCAAACAATATATATTTTGGAAAAAAATATTACCAGCAATAAAAATCATGCCGATATTAACTAACCCATTGAGGTTGATATACTGTAAAACAAAACAAGACATACCAATAGATAGATAGATAGATAGATAGATAGATAGATAGACAAAAAAAAATATTACCAGCAATAAAAATCATGCCGACATTAACTAATCCATTGAGGTTGATATGCCGTAAAACAAAACAAGACATACCAATAGATAGATAGATAGATAGATAGATAAAAAAAAATATTACCAACAATAAAAATCATGCCGACATTAACTAACCCATTGAGGTTGATATGCCGTAAAACAAAACAAGACATACCAATAGATAATAGATAGATAGATAGATAGCTAGATAGATAGATAGATAGATAGACAAAAAAAAATATTACCAGCAATAAAAATCATGCCGACATTAACTAACCCATTGAGGTTGATATGCCGTAAAACAAAACAAGACATACCAATAGATAGATAGATAGATAGATAGATAGATAGATAGATAGATAAAAAAAAATATTACCAGCAATAAAAATCATGCCGACATTAACTAACCCATTGCGATTGATATGCAGTAAAAAAAAAAAAAAAATAGAAAATAAAAAATATAAACCAGTGAGTATAGTTTAAATTTGTTTTTGTCCATTACCTTAAAAAAGGTCAATCTGACTCACCTATAAAATTTCAAGAATCTTTGATCGACATTAATGTACACTGAATTGTGGTCATTGGCTTACAGCAATATCATTTTGAAACACTGCTTCTCTTTTAATCATTGAAGTTAAGCAACATCAAGCCTTATCCGTACCTAGATTGGTAACCACTTGTGAATACCAGGTGCTGTAAGCTTGGATATGCAGGTAATGCAATGGATGATATTTTGGGATGATAAATCAGAGAGCTGTGTTTGAATTCCAGTCGGGATCGTTATATTTGATTAAGCAATATCCTTGTACAAATGAATCAAAAAGAGACATGATCACTTAAGTGTGTCAATTTTGTCTCTACCAACACACATTGGGCCAGTGTTATTGGATAATGGCCAATTCCTCTTCATGAATCTGAGGAAGGCCTACATCCAACAAAGGGACTTCACAGGCTGAGAAGAAGGAGAATGTTGGTCACACAAAGAAATTTTGGCAAACTGGGACAAAAGTTATGCTCTGCCCAAACCGCTTAAATAATGGACTACGCCATTTTGATCAGGAAAGATAGAAAAGACATATCAGTGATGTTGTTTGGTTTCAGCAAGAAAAAAAAAGAAGATAGAGGTGGACATAATGCTCCCATATATTTAATGTCTGCTACAGTGAAATGGAAAACCTTATCAATTTCAAATCTTTACATTTATATCATTGTAAAGTGACCAATGAGTATATATCTATAATTTTAAGTTTGTTTTTATGTGTTATAGTATCAATATAAACATCACTATATTCCGATGAAGTCTTAAAGGACAAAACATGTCATACAAAAATAATTTTCCACATTGTCATAGATATTCCTAAAATTGTTCTGATTTTTAAAAATTTATATATTATTTTATCATAATTATACTAGAAAGGAAAGGTATATAATCTTATAATTCCGCTTGTTTCTTAGCGTGTATGTTATGCTCTGCTAATACCACTTAAATAAAGAATTATCTTATTTTGATCAGGAAAGATAGAAAAGACATATCAGTGATGCTGTTTGGTTTCAGCAAGAAAAAAAAGAAGATAGAGGAGGACATAATGCTCCCATATATTTAATGTCTGCTTCAGTGAAATGGAAAACCTTACCATTTCAAATCTTTTCATTTGTATCATTGTAAATTAACCAATGAGTATATATCTATAATTTTAAGTTTGTTTTTTCCTATAACTTAAAAAAAAACAACATAACCAATCTGACTCAGCTGCAAAAGTTTGCCAATCTTTGATCTACATTAATATATACTGAATGGTGATCATGGGTTTATTCCCAACCACTATGCCGCGGCACATTAGTGTGCCGCGGAATGATTACTGGTGTGCCGCGAAGACATAATATCTAGAAGCCATTTAATTTCATTTTGTTTAATAAAGACATTCAATTTCTTAATCATGATGACACCGTTCAATTACATATAAGTAATATTGGTTAGGAATCGGAATCGTTAAAAATTTACGTATTGTTTTATCATCAGTTTATATCGTCTATATATCTTGTTCACAATATTTACAGATTCTTTGTAGATATTTTTATTAAATATTTAGGCGTTGTAAATTAAAGTTTTAGTAAGACAAACAAAAAACAAATTAAATATAATAAAAATTCTTTTAGATTTATTTTTTTTTCAATTTTATATTCAATTTACCCTTAATTATGGACAAGTTTCTGAAAAGAAAAGGCGATGGTGACAAGAATAATTTTACAACGTCATTTAAAAAACCAAAAGTTCACCGGTTGTATAGTGATGATTACTTGAAAGTTGGATTTCATTGGACTGGAGATACACAGATTCCTTCTCTGCTATGTGTTGTTTGTGGCCAAACACTGTCTAATGAAGCAATGGTTCCAAGTAAAATGAAAAGACATCTTACTACTAATCATCCTAACCTTCAAACTAAAAATGTCGATTATTTTCAACGGTTATTAGAATCAAATGCAAGGCAAAGTCAACTATTTAAAAAAAACAGTAACTGTGTCTGAAAAAGCTCAATTAGCTTCATATGAACCAATCTAGTTACAGACAAGGATTGACGTTGCTTAACTTCAGTGATCAAATGAGGACCAGACTGTAAGCCTTACAGTCTGGTACTCATTTGATCACTGAAGTTAAGCAACGTCAAGCCTTGTCTGTAACTAGATTGGTGACCACTAAACAATACCAGGAGCTGCAAACTTAGGTATGTGGATGATATAATGGATAAAGGTTTGTAATGAAAAGTCAGAGAGCTGCGTTTGAATTCCAGTCGGGTTCCTTATATTCGCTTATGCAAATATCCTTGTTCACATGAATGAAAAGTAGACATGATCAGCCAAGTGTATCAATTCAGCTTCTACCAACGCGCCAACAAATCAACACAGACTGAAATGAATACAATAAGGGAACCAGTAATAAGGATTGCCAGAGAAAAGCAATAATAACAACGAAAATTGCAATATGAGCTCTGGTAAAAACATGCAATGATAACAACAAAAATTCCAATATGAACACTGGATAAAAAAATGGTTGCTGAAGACATTAAGTTTATAATTCCCAGAAATTCATACACAGATGTCCTTAAGGTCACGTGGCACAGAGGATAAAGGCGTTGGTTAGATCCAGTGACAGCGTGAGTTTAATACCTGGTTAAGACAATGGAGAACATCTAGAGGGGAATTAACCAGAGATAACTGAATACTGACATCCATTAGACATGGCACGTGGAACTAAAACAGTCTATCCCAGCGGAGAAATAAAAAGTTCAGTTCGACATTCGAACCACATGAAGAAAACCGGAGCGTACAACGGCCGAAACGTTGTGATAAATATGGCGACAAAGATGAGGACAATCGTCCGAATAGTGTACATAATACCTCATCTCAGAAATATAGACAGATCTTTTACTTTCTATCATGTCTCCATTTCATCTTATCGATATTTTCATTTGTCTCCCACTTCATTTTTTATTAGTTTATTTTTCTTTTAGGTGACCTCGTTTGTTGATGTTACTAAAGCTTCTCTTAAAGTACCCTACACTGAATTTCCATTCTCATTTACTTTCTTATATCTTCTTTTAAAGGTGTCAGCAAATAAGACTTTACAATTCGGGTGATTGAAGATTATGCCGTATTACAATTTGGGAGCTGGCTTCGTCCTCTTCACTAACGCAGTTGCACTCTAAGGTGATCACTAAACAATGGGAGATGTTCGTCCTCGCACATTCATTCCTTTTGATTTGTTTTGTTTTACGGCATATCAAAACCTCAATGGGTCATTTAATGCCGACAACTTTTTTTTTTCCTGGTAATATTTTTGTTTTTTCAAAAATCTATTTCTGTTAATATTTTTTCCTCAAAAATGTATAGCTGGTAATATTTTTTTTCAAAAACGTATAGCTGCTAATATTTTTTCAAAAACGTATTGCTTGTAGTATTATTTTTTTCAAAAACGTATCGCTGGTAATATTATTTTTTTCAAAAACGTATAGCTGATAATATTATTTTTTCAGAAACGTATAGCCGGCAACACTATTCTTTAAAAAAAGTACAGCTGATAATATTATTTTTTCAGAAACGTATAGCCAGCAACACTATTCTTTAAAAAAAGTACAGCTGGTAATATTATTTTTTCAAAAACGTATAGCCAGCAATACTATTCTTTAAAAAAAGTACAGCTGATAATATTATTTTTTCAGAAACGTATAGCCAGCAACACTATTCTTTAAAAAAAGTACAGCTGGTAATATTATTTTTTCAAAAACGTACAGCTGGCAACATTAATTTTTTCAAAAACGTATTATCAGAGTCCTTGCTGTTGGACGTAGTTTGTCGTCTTTCCCAGGACGTCGTCATATTCAGGGTGACTCATTCCTTTTGCTATCTTCAGAAGTAATTTTTTCTTTATTTACCATCATTCATTCATTCATTCTTTCTTTCTTTCTTTCTTTCTTTCTTTAACTTTTCATTTCTTTCTATATTTCTTTGTTTCTCTTTGCTGTTTTGCTTTATTGCGAGTACAGTTTTTTTGTATTTCTTTTAGGCAAGAGCTACTATGAATCCCTTCAACGTGTTCTATAGAAACCCTTCCCAATCAATCCGAGGGCTCAAACTACAACGCGTAGAGGGCTGACCGTTCAGAAATAGCGAGTGCTGTAAGCGTAGGTGTGCGGGTGGCGTAATGGATAATGGCTTGGAATTGTTAATCGGAGAGCCGAATTTCAATTCCAGTTGGGTTCGTTATATTCACTTACTCGCAAATATCGTTGCGGTTTCTTCCCCGCCCAGGTACGTATTAAATTAGTATGACTGCGTACAAAATATTTAGATTTCGGCATTAAATTATCCGTAGAGGTCGAGATGCCTCTAATCGATAACAATTGATCAATCACAACTGGAATTATTGATTTCCTCATGTGCCATATTTTTGAGATTTCCGGTTCAAGATCCTTATATTTTGGTATTTTTTCAAGATCTCCAAAGATACTTTACAATCTTCAGGGTGTGCCATGTCAATAAGAAAATGTATTCTGTTTTTGTGGCTTGGAATTGTCTGGGTGATTACCTTTGATTTTTCTGTCTGTGTGTATTGTAAGGTCCCCTAAAATTGTTACAGGTCCTATGTCTGTAACTAGCTCTGGGTGATGTCCATACCAGTTTATTATTTATTTATCATCCATTATTTATTATTATTATTATTATTATTATTATTATTATTATTTTATTTCCTTTGATTTCTGATGAGTACTTATTTCTCTCCGGGTTCTGCACAGGGACCTAAGGTTAGAAATGTCATCATGACATTTTCCACTGGAAAAAAATTACAGAAACAAAGCCCTTCGTAAGGTGTGAGGTGTATTCGTGAGAAGGATTT